GTAAAGTATTAGATAATTCCTCACATGGTATGCGAAAGATAGAGGGATAGTTTCGTAACTTTTACAAATAGACGGGAAAACAAGTGCATATATAAACCTGTGTGATTCACATATGAATTATTTAACTGGTTCATAAATGAACTCGTGTGATTTACATGTGAACTAATTAACTGATTCACATATGAACCCGTGTGATTCACATATGAACTATGCGTTAACATATGCTTTTGTTTGCTGCCTAGTTGTAAAAGTTATGAAACTACCCCTCTATTTTTTATTTGACTAGTTAAAATCGCAAATTTTGATCAGTCAAAGTCGTAATGTTTGACTAATCTTGACCGTATGGAAGGTTAGGTGCACTTTTTTATTTCCCAAATACTTACTAGTTCTCAAATGAACCTCTCTCCCCTCTCTCTCTCTCTCTCTCTCTATATATATATATATATATATATTGCATATTCCAATATGTATAGGGTCAGATTCAATGGAAAACCACAAAAATTGAAAATTTGAGAAACAATCATTAATCATTCATCTGGACGATATGTCCACGTGTATACAAATAATTTATAAGCAATTTGTCTGGTATGCACACGTACAAAAAAACCAAGAAACAATTATATATATATATGTGTGTGTGTGCACGCACACACATACCGTCTAAATAAATGATTATCATCCATATATACGAGTGAATTACATTTTTCATCTCTTTGTTTTACCTATTCTATTTTCAATCCTTGACTACACTAAAATACATCTATACTCTTATGGTTTGCATTTTGTTTTGATTTGGTCCTTTAGGTCTAACAATTCGTTTGAGGACATCGTTAAAAAGGGTCATGTGTCCTCACGTTAGAGGCATTTGGGTTTTTTTTGTCATTTCATGTTCAAAAAATAGTGTAAATTCTTCAACTATGTACAAGTCATTAAACCTTGAAAGAAAAAAAAAAAGCCATCTATCTTTAGTTAATTCATCTTTTTATCGGCTCTTAAATAGTTATGCATTAATTAATGATAGATTTTATAACTTACTCATCGTTTTTGAAACCAAAAACTTATTTTAAAACAAATAAAAATAAAAATATAGACACTTATTTTAAGACAAAAGAATTAGTAAATACTTATATATATATATATATATATATATATAGCATCGGTATATCAATTCATGAAGCAGCATATAGTATACCAAACAATCGTTAAGAGTCCCCGATTTCAAACAACTCATCAAAAAGCAATATTATTTTATACGATATTATTTGAAAAAATGTTCTATAAGATAGAAGACTTCTCAAAAGTGTTCTATAAAATAATTAATAAAACATTTTATTTTAAAAACGTTCTAAAAATTTGTTAAAACTCCTGAAAACATCCTATATACCTGTTGTAATGCTTTTAGATATAACGTTTTATAGTTTGGTACTATAAACCTAAGTTCTAAAGCCAATTTTGTTGTAGTGTTCGTCCTACTGTACCAATATAATGAAAGGAAAATTAGGGGTTATAAAGATGCATCTATTTTAAATTGATACGTGTTTCCTTATGTTAACAAAAAAAAAAGTGATTGCAACATGCGGATAGTGTCATTGTATGTGACATTACAAGTTGCAATCAACAATTATCAGTTATAAAGTAAGACGAGGGATCATGTGAGAATAGAAATTAAGGTGAGAATCGTAAAAAGATATCTGGACCATTGATTACTTAGAAAAAAGATCACATGATTATATTGTATATATAAGAATCAATGTTATATATTTTGTATTTGAAATTATCACCTACTCATCAGTTGTGGAATTCAGACGTAATTTTTACAAAGTTGTATGCAATAAGTTATACAATTAAAGGGAAACTAATAAAATGATTATATGTAAAACATGGGTTGTTATTATGCTTGTTGTATGATGTCCTAGAGATTTCTTAAATTTTATGCATTAAAAAGTAGTACTTCATGTTTAAAATATTGTTTTTAAGACTTTGATGAATTATTTTATAAGATTACGAGTTGTGTACACGCGTAATACGGCGGGAGCCGTAAATTTTAACGATTTTAAAGTTTCATTGGTTTTATTAGAGAAGATTTAACGATGATATAAGTTACACTTGGTCTTTACATATTAATACAATTTGAATAAATAAGAGTTATGGTTCCAATTACAGTCTATCGATTAAAAAAATTGTATGACAGTTTAAAATCCAATATATTTAAAATCCTACATATTTAAACGACTCCACGAATGTGTTCGATTTACACCAAGAGCAGAGAATCAAGAGAAGAGATCGAGACCGAGAGTTCTTGAGCAATTGAATAGAAGATGAATGAGAGAACTTTTAATAACTCATGGGGAATATTATTTTGAATCTCACCTTGGGGAATGGGTTGAAGACATATAGGTATGAGAGGATGAATACATGAGTGAAAGATGTCAAAAGTATCTTGGGAACATGAAAAAAATAATAATAATGTACATTGGTAGTAGTACTTAATGCATTATTAGTTGTTTTTAAGACTTTAAGACTTTATGCATAAATGTATAATACTTTGTGCATTAAAAATTATTTTTAAGACTTTTGATAAATCTGGTTTATAAAGTAGTATAGATAATAAGCATTACTGAATAAGATTTTTACCCGATCAGGCAAGTGTCATATGGCAAGCACTTACCCACTCGATGCAACACAATTCATTATCAATTATGAAGTGAAAAACTTGAACTACCGGTCCTGCTTCATGTTTCGATATCTTGTACACTCGATTTTACTTTATACATAAATATGACTGATACTATTGATTAAGATTTAAACTTGAAATTACTTATTTGCCCCCTCATTAAGAAGGAGTGAAATGCATATACACATGTACACCAAGAATTGAATAGCGTAGTTTCATGCACCAATTCCGGTCATATTTTCTCTGTACAAGATACGAATATCGACACCCAATTCAGCACTATTATTCACCCTAAAACCTCTTGTTTTCCATTACAATTTGTTATCTCTAAGTTTAATTTGGTGATCATAAATAACATATATTTCAGGAGCGGACCTACACAGAAGGATACAATGACACATGTTTTTAAAAATACTAGTTGTGTACCCGCACAATGCGGCAGGAGCCGTGAATTTTAACGATTTTGAAGTTTCACTGGTTTTATTAGAGAATATTTAACGATGATATAAGTTACACGTGTTCTTTACATATTAATACAATTTGAATAAATAAGAGTTATGGTTCCAATTACAGTCTCTCGATGAAAAATATTGCATGACAATTTAAAATCCAACATATTTAAACGACTCCATAAATGTGTTCGATTTACACCAAAAACAAAGAATCAAGAGATCGAGAGTTCTAGAACAATTGAATGAGAGATGAATGATGAACTTTTTAATAATTCATGATGAATATCAGTTTGAATCTCATATTGGGGGATGGGGAGAAGACATAGAGGTATGAAAGGGTGAAGACATGAGTGAAATATGTCAAAAGTATCTTGGAAACATGAAAAGAAAATGTAATAATGTGCATTGTAGATTAAAGAGATTTTAAGATTTAAGAAGGCTTATTTTCTTATGAGGGAATAAATTTATGCTTCTATGTAACTTGTACAACTTACCGTAACTTGTACAACTTACCGTAACTGAACTCAATGTTTACCTTAAATAAAAACCAAATGAAATATAATAATTTATATATTATGGGGGTGTTTAGGATTGCTTATTTGAAACAACTTATGTTTTTCTACAAAAACATTTATCAACTTATTATAAGTCAGAAGTGTTTTAACTTCTTCAAAAATTCTTTATTACCGGTTTGGCACCAATATAAGTTGTTTATCCAAACATTCAAAATTGTTTATTACCGATGTCACACCAAAATAAGTCGATAAATTGTTTTTATAAAAATAAGTTATAAAAATATATTTTTCAGATTTTAGTTTCCAAACACCACATATGTCTTGTTGTAATCCTTGGACTTTTTAGTCCAAGAAACCTTCCAAAGTCTCCTCCAATGATTTGATGCAACATTTTCTCTGCAAATATACAATTTTCAATTATTATTTATTTATTATTATATAAATTCTATCTAGTAAATGTTGTAAATTATACAGCTTTTTATATATTTTTATCAATTACCATTTAAATTAAAATAAAATAAAATATTTTAATATGGTTTTTTATTTTATTTTTGGGTTTGAAGAAACTAAAATTCCAGCTTACATGCTGAAAGGAACACCTTATGCTACATGCCATGTGCCCTCATTTCTGACAAATTGAATAAAGTGGTTTATTTTATTTACAAACAAATAAAATATTTACTTTAACATGTATTTTAATAATTAATTAAGTACAGCAAATACCCATTAAAATAAGCGATGAAACAAATTTATATGCATTAAAAAATATTTAGTTAAATCTATATATAAATTGAATTATTGGATTTATAGCAGCATTTCTAATAGGGTCTCTAAAATAAAAAAATTGGAAAAAATCTGGATTTTAAGTTAATATTTTATTTTTAACAATTTTTTTAAAACTATCTTTAAAATGAAGAAAGTAAAAAAGAGAAGGGTTTTTATTTTCTAAATTTAGATAACACCTCAAAAATCATTACCAAATGAGACCATGATAGAAAACTTTGAAAATAAATATTTAAAAAATAAATAATATTTTAACATTATAATCAATATTGGATTTTTCAAAATAATTTTTTTACTGATTTACTGCAAGTGTAATATTTTTAAAGAATCTCTTTCACCTTTTTAAAATTCCTTTTATAGTTATGATCCCATTATACCTTGAAAAATGACACACTTGATATCCTTTTCACCCTTTTCTTCTCCCACCACTATATACATACACACATATTATATATATATATATATATACATACACACATATTATATATATATATATACATACACACATATTATATATATATATATATATACATACATACATATATATATATATATAAGTGTTAGTACTACGGCCTTACAACACTCACAAGATTGGATCGAAAATCAAGAAATGGGATCTCTGTTTACCTCATTATTATACTTGTCATTGTTTTTGTTCTTTTACCAGATAAAAGCCACTTCTTTCCTCAACTCCTCCAAGGCCAATTCCAATTCTTGCAATTTCTTCAAAGGCAAATGGGTCTACGATCCATCTTACCCTCTTTACAATCCTACCACTTGTCCTTTCCTAGATCCCGAATTCGATTGCGTCAAATACGGAAGGCCCGATAAATCATATCTCAAGTACCGGTGGCAGCCTTTTAGCTGCAACCTTCCCAGGTATTCTTCTTTAGTCCTTTTCTCATTTGGTGCGTTGTTGTGTTATAACAACAACGCACCACCTCACCCATGTTTTGGAACATCGTCGAACCCATTCGACCGTATTATATATGATGGAGGTTTTTGGACAATTGGGTTGCAGGTTTAGTGGGGTGGGGTTCTTGCAGAAATGGAGGGGGAAGAGGATTCTGTTTGTGGGTGACTCACTGAGTTTCAACATGTGGAGCTCACTGAGTTGCATGATTCATTCATGGGTGCCGAATGCGAGATATACGCTAATCAAGACCGGTGTTCTTACTGAGTTGGTGTTTCAGGTTGGTTTCATTTTCCCCCTCTTTTTTTTATTTATTTTTAATTTTAAATTTTAATTTGTGGTCAATTATATGGATCCAACTACCTTCCACTTTTTGCTCTTAATTTGGACCAGTTTTAACCACAATACTTGTAATAACATTGAAGTTGTAATAAGTTTGAAATGTTTTACGCTTTTTGTTCTCATCACATACTTCAAAAGCGTAAAACATTTCAAACTTATAGATGAAAAAGTTATTTTATATATCATTAAGTCACTACGAAACAGTAAAATAATAATGTATAGCTGATTGAATAAGTTGTAAGAGTAAGTATCTTTGTTAAGTTGTTAATAAACAAATATTTAATATTTAAAACGAGGAAGTTTAATTTTTTTTCTAAAATTTAAATTTTAAAAAGTAATTTTATTTATTATATATATTGTGTTTAAAATAATCATGGCTGGAGTTTGGTGCACGCCTTTTGTGTCCCTTTGTCTATGTTGGTTGCAAAAGTGAGTGTCGTTTTCTGATTCCGAGATCTTACGTTGTTGCTACTTGTAATTTGTGCTTTGATTATGGTACTTTTGGTTCAAATTTAAATTCTTAAATTTTATATTTATTTTTTATAATTTTATTTAAGGAGCAAATTGTGCATAAAAACAGGTACTTTAATTTAAATGTTATATTATGAAACATACATCCAAAATAAGTATTTTGAAGGTTAAATATTTATTTAATAAAAACACAATTTTAACAAACATTATTTCCTAACTTCTGCCTTTTTGGAGCCACGACACTTTCAAAATTCTGCTTAATTATCAAATGTTTATATATATAGAATTTGTTTCAAATACAATTCATTGCATTTGTACAACCAATGCAACCCAATAAATTGAGATATTTATGAAAATAATGAGAGTTCATTTATTATGATTTGAATATTTATGGAAGATGAATATGGTTCATTAATTATGATCAATACTTTATATTATAAAACAATCAAAACTTCTATGAAATCACATATTAATCAAATAAAATGGACGGTTGAGATTGGATTGTATTGGTTGCACAAATGCCAAGAGTTGTATAATAACCAACCTTTATATATATATATGGGTTAATTCAAATGAGAATCACAAAAAGGTTATAAACATCGTGAGAACCGATTTAAAAATAAATTTTGCATGAGTTTTTTTTTTTCATCAAATGTTAGGATTTAAGATGTTGTTTCACATATATTTGTTTCATAATGTGATAGTTTCACATGTAATTATTTCACCATATGGACAATTTTATGTGTATTTTCCGTTTTAGTAAGTGAAAAAAAAAAACGTTTAACATGCAATTTTTTTTATAAGGTGAACACAAACACATGTGAAACAATATGTTAAATCATAGATTTTGATTATCATTATTTGTCCTCCCCTCCCCTCTCTCTCTCTTGAACTCCTCCATCAAACTTTGTTTAATATTTATGTTTGTTTAAATTTCATGATGTTATTTAAATCTAAAAACTTTGGTCGTTCCGAATTTTTTTTACTGAAGTTCACATTTCTTTTTAAAGTTGTGTTATTTCGTGTATTCACGTTCGTTGTTCAATTTTTTTTTACCAAAATAAATGTGATAGTTAAATAAATAAGATAATTAAGAAATACGATGTCAATAAATAAAAAAAGACAAAAAATACCCTTTTTAACAAGATTTATGCTAATTAGAGAGTTAAAAAAAGGATAATACTCACTAGGGGTGCTCAAAAACCCGACCAACCCGATCAACCTAACCCAACCCAACACGAAATAACCCAAACCGAAGCAACCCGATATCTAATCGAGTTGTAAAATTGTCAAACCGTAGGTATTGAGTTGATATTTAGTTACTATTATTTGAACCCAACTCAACCCAACCTGATGAACCCGATATACTTTTATTTCTTAGATTTAATATGATTGTCGAATTTCTATTAATATGTACATTAGACAATTACACTATCATGTATGCTTTTCATATACACATATTTTCAATCTATTCACATTTCTATATAACTCATTCATATATATGTTCAGTAACTGTGAACATATATATGTAAATTGAGAAAATTAACCGAATGTGATATACGTAAGAAATATGGATAAGTTGTAACAAATGGTTGATGATGAAAAAGAAATTATGAGTAGAGAAATAACATATTTAAGGTTAGAAGAATATTTTAATATACCAAAGATATCAACCAGACCAACCCGACCAACCCGTACGGGTTGGGTTGCACTTTGGTTTGGGTTGAGTTGGGTTAAGATTTTGTCCAAACCGCAAACATTGGATTAAGTTGTTCAAATGTTTTTAACCCGATCAACCCAACCTATGAATACCCCTAACACTCATCATATATATTTTGTGTTACATAAAAATAAGTAAAAGTCTGAAAAGGAATTTTCAGCTGTCTTCCTTTGTACCCAATAAAGTTACCACCAATTCAGCATGTGGTATTATTTAATTTAATTTAAAATACATAATAAATGTTGCTCATCAACCAATCATAATACACTCCTTGATTTGTTGCTTAATTTCCCAATCATCTTTCTTTTCTTTTTCCAATTTTTTATAAATAAAATCTAATTTTATATAAATGTGATCTTTATAGGTTAAATTGCATGAAAAAGTAACATACTTTAATTTGATTTCTATTTTTGGGTAACGCACTTTCAAAACTTTCATTTTGATGCCTAAAATGTAAAATTTTAAATATTTAATTATCCAGGTCACCGGTTGAAAAAAATCCATGTCACTAACCACGTCAGCAAATAATACTGAGTTGAATACCACATCAACATGATAACTGGTTAATGCTTCAACTTATTACCCAGGTACTTAAATATTTAAAAAAATTTATATTTTAGGTACCAAAATGAAAGTTTTGAAAGTACATTATTTAAAATAGGAATCAACTTGAAGAACGTTACTTTTTCATGCAATTTACCCATCTTTATATGAAAATTTGTTATACAATGTGTTAAAACATTATGGACTTTACAAAACCAAAAATAATTTGACATTTTAAATTATAGATTTAATAAAACAAAACTACTAACAATCCTATGCTTCAAACTAGTTTCTATAAATAGATATAAGAACTAGAAAAGTTTTCCAACTATAAACCCTCATAAATAATTGCATTAATTGCCATAAATATATTTTTAATGGCAATTAATTAATTTATAATTTAACTTTATTCTAGATCTAGAACACATTATCTGTGTAGTTGTACCGTCAATGTTGTCGGATTAAATATTTCACTGTACAGCTGGTATTTAATCAAATTAAATAAACTCTGTATTTTTAACGTAATTTATTAATTATCTTTTTAGATAATAGAAAAACAATATATAGTCGAAGGTTTCGGAAAATTTATATCTATTTATTACTTATTTTTTTTATATTTTTAAATAAATAAAAATAATAATTAGGAATCCAAAACCTGATTTTTAATTTTGAATGAGAATACAAAAACATAAACAGAAAATGGATTGTGCCCATTTGGAGCACAAGTCAAGAGACATCACGTGACTTGCATGTGGGAGTGGGATCGTCTCACGAGAACAGATGTAGATGTACTGCAGTAATAAATACTCATTATTTGGCATTTATTTTCCAAACCTCACGGGTTACCTTACCATTAATTAACCATTTTTTTTTCTATTTTAATGCTTAAATTATGCTTACACACTATTAAAATAATTGTCCCTATTTTTATTTTAAAATAAATACCAAGTTTAAAAAATAGATAATTAAATTCTCAAATATATTATTAATTAACGTATAAATATTTAAAAGTTGTAAAAAGTAGAGAAATTAAATAAGGATAAAATTGTTATTTGGTTAATTAAAAGTGTAATAATTATGAATACCTATAACTCTATGTCATTTTAATTGTGTGCACTTATTTTGAGATGAAAAAAATGTGACTTTTATCATAAAATAATGCCAATTGAATCTAATTACTCAAAGTCGGATGTTGCTATTTGAACCCTTCTATCACCGTTAAATTTATATTTGATGTGTTGTATTGTTTATTAATAGGACTACGGACTAAAGTTGTCGATATATCGTACAACCACTCTAGTCGACATCGTGAACGAAAACGGGGCCCGGGTTCTAAAACTAGACTCGATCCGTCAAGGGAACGCATGGAAGGGAATGGACGTGTTGGTTTTTAACTCGTGGCATTGGTGGACTCACACTGGACGTGACCAACCGTAAGATTCTTTTTAACTCTATGATGCGATAAAAACTCATCCGACTGTTATATAAATTACGTCTTTTTAGTAACTTGGTTGTTCAAGCTAGTTTAGGCACACCTCTGATCGTTATATAATTTGTTGGGTTGGAAGACATGATAGGACATTACTGAACAAAAACTTGTTGTCCCACTTTTGATACAACATTTACACTGCTACATGCCAATATTGAGTGTGGAAAATGCAGTTTTTTGTCCCACCAAAATAGGTGAAACAAAAATGAGGAAGGTGATGGTAAAAAAAAAAAAAGGGAAATGAGACAAGATTGGTAATTACTAAAACACTTATGTCAAATTAAAACTCAAAAACCTTGCATAATTTTGTCACCCCGATACCCCACTCTCGTAAGTCCATTCTTGTCAACCCTAAAGGGACTTGAAGTAGTGAATGTTTTACCAGTTGGACTCCATATATAAATGATGCTTTAATACATGTATTTTGTAACTGGAATGCAGGTGGGATTACATCGGAGAAGGGGGGAAGCGGTATAAAGACATGAACAGGTTGGTCGCATATTATAAGGGAATGACAACATGGTCGCGATGGGTCAATCGCTTTGTCGATCCTTCGAAAACCAAAGTGTTCTTCCAAGGCATTTCACCCGTTCATTACGAGTATGCTCGTTTACTCTATTTTACGTTCTAATGTCATTTTTTTAATTGTGGGTGTCCGGGTCAACTTTAATGTACCTCGATTAATTCTATGGGACTCTGAAGTTAACAGTAAGGAAACTTCCACGGCTGAAGGGACTCAAACAGGTGACCATTGGTTACAAACCTAAGGTCAGACCAGTTGAGCTATGCCCAGAGTTATTAGTTCGACTTTCACTAGATGCTTTTATGTAACTATCGAGAACTGATGTTTGTTTTGAACCGTATAGGGGAAAGGACTGGAATCAACCATCAAAATCATGTAAAGGTGAAACACAACCATTCTTCGGTTTTCGATATCCCGCCGGGACACCGCTAGCATCGGTTGTGCTCAATAAGGTGTTGAGCCGAGTCAAGAAACCAGTCTACTTGCTTGATATCACGACACTTTCTCAGTATCGAAAGGATGCTCACCCAATCTTCTACAGTGGCAACCACATTGGGCTCGATTGCAGCCATTGGTGTCTCCCTGGTTTGCCAGATACATGGAACGTGCTTCTAAATGCGGCTCTCTCCGGTTAAGTTGGAGAGACGATCGATTGATTCTAGAAACACGTTGTTTACTTAGGATTCATAGGTTGTGTTCATTAGAGCGTGTGATTTATTGTTGATTAGTAGTCATATTCTCGATGGCTTCATTAGTTTCGATTTTTATACGGTTTTGATTCACTATTGTTTGTCGAATAAGGAGAGGAAACCGCTGATTATTTTTAAAATCTTGAAATTTGATTTTATTATGATTTACAACAAAGAATTATAAGAAAGACTGTTTCAGAGTTGCAACTTCTAAGTGTTGTCTTTTTCTTTAGATCGAAACCAATACGACAATAAATTTAGTTTTATATGACGTTAAAGATGTTCAAATGTCTTAATAAACTGTTTTATAATACTAAATAATCGTGTGTCTTACGTAAAATTATATTACAATAAGTTAATATGATGTTTTTGGACGTCCTAACAAGTTTTTATGACATTTTTGGAATGTCGTCAATTTTTTTGGTTGGTACTGGTTTTATACCAATTTTAAGTTACATAGATGAAAAGTTGACATTATGTTCAAATTTTGAGTTTCCAGGTAACATAATGATGTTTAAAAGTTTCTAATTCAAATGTTCAATATTCAGTATATAAAAATACAAAAACTTATTATGGTATGACATTAGAATTCATGTATTCGGAAGAACCAATTGTGAATTTTACCCGTTAAATCTACATTCACATTTTCTACTACAAATGAATGGTTGTGGTGAATCGAACATAGAGGGTCTTAGATATCAATTGGTATGGTCCCGAGTTCTAGATGGTCCCAACGCACTCGTTTCTGTTATGTCGGGGGATTAAGGATTTTTCACGTAATGTTATGAATAAAAATCATCTGTACTAAATTTCTCTATCCTCTCTGTCTATCAATCATATGAAGACATATCAGATTTTTATTTAATATAAATTTATTTAAATTTTGTTCACATTATCTTTCTGATGATGTGTGTTTATATGATTGATGAACAAAAATGAGACGTCAGGATTTAAGAAAAATGACCAGATATAATAGTTGAATTATATTTCTTATATGTAAAGTATATATATTTCCAATAATATTCTTTTATTTATTAGTTTTTTCCAATTCAACCCAATGTAATTTTATAAGTTAATTATAATATTATACAATTATAACCAAAATAAATTATTCGTAAATTGTTAATTACGAACTAATTATCATATTATTAAAAAGGTTACATTTATACAAATAATATACATGTTTTTAAATTTGTACCATGTTATTAAATTATTTAATACTATACTTATTTAAATTTATTTTTTGATTATGTATATTTTATTTCTTGTTATTGTAATTATGTCAATGTTTTATATTTTCTCATATATCATATATTAATAGAACATAATTTATTGTCTAATATTAACAAATATTTTGATCAATTTAGTGTTGAGAAGTAGTGATGGCCAAACCAGTCCGACCATATGATTTTATGGTGTTTCATGGGACCGGGACCGACCTTCTCAAAAACCATATGATAACTCTAACATTGTCATTTGAAAAGCCCATCGATCAACTATTTGTTAAAGAAGTTGAATAAACAAATAGTGCAAAATGTGAAGTAACTCGCTTCCGTTTATTACTACAAATTGGTTTATATAACGTTAAAATAGATTGTTTTATAGAACTTAAGTTCTATATGACCAACACTACTAGAAAACCAGGTATCAGCGACGAGTATCAGCGAGGGAAAAATTCCCTCGCAGATCAGCGAGGGATCAGCGAGGGAAATGACAAAATTCAGAATCCCTCGCTGATCCCTCGCTGAAAATTTTCCTCGCAGATCAGCGAGGGAAATGCCAAAAAACTCAATCTCTCGCTGATCTGCGAGGGAAATTTTCCCTCGCTGATCCCTCGCAAATCAGCGAGAAATCAGCGAGGGAAATGCCAAAAAACTCATTCCCTCGCTGATCCCTGGCTGATTTCCGAGGGAAATTTCTTCTGAAAAATCCCTCGCAGATCAGCGAGGGATCAGCGATGGAAATGACAAAATTCACATTCCCTCGCAGATCCCTCGCTGATCTGCGAGGGATCAGCGAGAGATTTTTCTATTTTTCCTATTTTCTCATTTTTATGTGTTATATGTACATATTTTTATGTGTTGATATCGTATGTATGCATGTCATGTATTGTGTGTGTGTGTGTATAAATAAATAAATAAATAAATAAATATATATATATATATATATATATATATGTTGTGGTTGCTAACCGCGAAATGTGCATTTGTTATAAGTATATATACCCGTCGTGAGGGAAAGTGATTTTTGTCATTTTTTAAATTTTATAACTACTAAGTTAATTACTTATAAATTATTTATTAGATTATTACAAAAATTAATTAATAAAGCTGATTAAGCCCAATAAAACATAATAAAACTCATTAAGGCCCAATAAACCAAATAAAGTCAAACAAAACTAAATAAAGTTCATTAAGACCCAATAAACCCAATGTAGCCCGGTAAATAGATTAAAGCCCAATAAAACCAAACAAAGCCCAGTTAAATTGGTTAAGGCCAATAAAACCATATAAATCTGCATATAACAAACACACACACACACACACACACTGTCTATACATTCACATATACACATAAATTTAAACATATATTCATCTATCCAATCGTGGTTAGCAACCAATATACATCGTGTATATATGTGTATATAACATTGACCGACGGGTATATATACATATAACACATACAACGTCGTGTAAACATATGT